AGAAGATTTCCTCTTATCCCTACTTCGGACAACTTTTGATCGAGGCGCTTATGTGGGACGCAATCAAACGCCTTGCTGAAGTCGAAGTAAATGACATCTACTGGATGTCATTCATCCAAGGCCTTTGACCAATGTTCGAGTGACGTAAGCAGGTTTGTGAAGCAGGAGCTCTTTTCGCAGAAGCCATGTTGGACTGAAGTGATATGACAGCGGAATGTATCGAGTGATGTAATTGATTTTTTAACTAACTTTTCCATAAGTTTGCAACAAATGCATGTCAGACTCACCGGTCGGTAATTGGTGGGACATAGCCGTGATTCTCCCTTGTGGATAGGTACGATGTTTGCCAACTTCCATGTGTCAGGTAGTTTGCCAGCTTCCAGGGATTTTTGGAAGATTATAGAAAGTGGTTCTGCTTATTCTTCAGCTAGCTGACGCAGGAGTACACCTGAGATCTCATCTGGTCCAGGTGACTTGGCCGGATCCAGCTTATTTAACTCTGATAAAACTAACTGCGGTGTAAAAAATACTGTGCTTATTAGTGGTTGGTTGGCGAGCTGTGGAAGAGAATAGGACTGGTGGGGTGGTTCCGCGGTGTAGACACTTTGGAAAAACTCGGAAAGAAGCTCGACATTTTGAAAGCCATCGCTCACAATTTGGTTATTTTTGTCCTTTAAGGTTGCCAGATGGTCTCGGTTTTTCGTATTGCTCCCGATATATGCATAGAATGCTTTAGGTTTTCGCTGCGCCTCTTCCAGGAGCTTTAGTTCATAAGAAGCTCGTACTTCTCGGATAAGTCATTTGCGTAAGGTTCGTTGTTGTCTGAATTTCTGAAGTTTTTCTGGGTGCTCCGTTTGTAAAAAATTTTGCACAACTTGCGTTTTTTTCGGATGTCCTTCTTAACCGATGTTGTCAGCCATTTCGGTTTGTTTCCGGTTGGATGTTTCTTGAGGGGACAGTATCGTTCAATGAAGTCTCTCATAGTTGATTCGAAGGTTGTCCAGCATTCATTGACATCTCCTCATAATGCTTCCGTCCATAGTGTGAGTTCAATCTCTGATTTCATTGCCTCAAAGTTACCCCGCCAGACATTTCTTAACGACTTTGAGTTTCGTTAGGGGACAGCTACAAGTGTCGACTCTCACACTAATGTCATGTGATCACAAGAACCTAGGGGTGGGCCTACATTTATTTCATCAAGGCATTCCTCGTTCTTGGTAAACAGTAGGTCTAGGCAACTAGCCCTCCGACCTTCACGCATCCGAGTCACAGTTAGTTCATGTTGAAACAGAAATTCGTCAAATGCCATGTCTAATAGCATTTGGTCGAATCCTTGTCTGTGGACCTTAACTGTCATAAGGTCCCAGTTAATCCGCGGAGCATTGAAATCTCCTACGATAATAATGTTTTTCTTTCGACTGTCCTCGCGGAGTCGAGTGATTAACGCTTGATCTTCGTCGGCAGGTTGATTGGGAGGCCTATATACAACGGTGACAGTAACGTTTTCGGCTTTTGGGACCAGCAAATGACACGGCAGCATCTCCAGATCATGCGCATTTACACATTCTTCAACAGGGTTATATTCGACCGCATTGCTGATATATAGGGCAACTCCGCCACCTCGCATTTTGGTTCGGTCTCGTCTTAGCACTTGATAACCATCTAACTGTATTTGGGGGTCTGTGACATCTGGGGGTGAGCCACGTTTCAGTTAATGCAATAACATCAGGGCATAGTTCGGCAGCAATTATTTTAAGTTCGTCGAGTTTGTTCAAGAGGCTTTGTAGATTTCCGTAGAAGGACTTAATTTTATGTAGGTTATTGCTTCGAATTAGTTGCCCTGCCGTGTGGCCTTCGTCCAGTATGACAGGCGTCCTCCACAGGAGGGGTTTTTGACGTCGAACAATCACTCCGTTCATTATTACTAGTCCCTTCTCTCCTTGTTCTTTCAAGGTCGCCAGCTTCGCCATCAGCGCCCTCCATTTCATTCTCTCTTGTACTGAGTAATCCGATTGAAAAAAAAAGACCTCTATGGCCAGGGATCCCCCCTAGTATTCGTTCAAGTAGAAGATCCCTCTGGAGTTTACTTTCTAAAATTATCTTTAAAGGTCTTGGTTTCCTCCCTTGAGAGCTCGCGCTATTTTTACTGTTTAGTCGGAAAAGTTTCAGAATCTTAATTGCTTCATTTTCTTTTATTATGCTACCCAGACACTCTTGCAAGATCATGATATCATCATTTATCCTGCATCTGGGGTTATTGTTGGTTGATTCACGAAGTCCATGGACGACTATGCATTGTAATCTGTCCACAGCACCTCCATTCGACGAATTTTGTTGGATAATTGGTCTGACCGATGATGAGGCTTCCCCAATGTGGGCTTCAACGCTAGTTGCATGAATATTCGTGCGAGTATGTACTTCTACTCCCACTCTGGGTTCATTTTTATTCGGTCTTGCGTTGGTCGATGCTCCCCTCACATTAGGCTCGGGAGATGCGCATACCGTCTGGGGACTGTTTTCCTCTTTCGTCGGTCCATCTTTATCATTTTCACTCTCGGCCCTCGGTGTCCTTTCTGGCGAGTCTGACACCCTCGCCTTTGGATTTTTGCGTCCTTTCTTCATAGTCTTTTCTGTCGCCTCTTTCTCATTCTTTACTGATTTTAGAGGTTTCACGTCACTACTGATACTGCTAATGCAGGTTGTCTCGCGCTCTACTCCTCGTTACCCTGTGCGTCGATACTGCCAACTTATCCTCTATCATGAAGGTCTGCTGGATAAAATTCTTCATGTTCCTAACTTCTTCCACTAGTTGATTTAACTTTGAGGCTAGCGTTTGACAACCGCTGCAATAGGTTCCCGCATGCGTCGGTCTTAACCAATTTGAAAGGTTTTTAGA